AGTTGTAGTAGCTGTCGAGGGAGTAGGTGTGGTAGTGGAGGTAGGATTTGCAGAATCTGTCAGGAGAGGGAAATGAGGTTTGGTTGGTGGTTGGAGGAACAAAGATACCAAGTTTCAGAAGACAGAACATTGAATACATAATAGCAGTTGCTATTATGTAATACTACAGTTGACCCTTGAACAAAGAAGGTTTGAACTCCATAAGTCCAGTTATACTCAGATTTTAAAAAATTAAACCCATGTTGTTCAAGGGTCAGCTATAATTAGTACCCAAGCCATTATTTTCTGAAAAATAAATACAGCAGGTCCTTGAATAACCTCGTTTCATTCAACATTTGGCTATAACATTGTTGAGATGATATAGGAACTTAACTATTGTTTATTCAATTAGCCCAGGGGTCGGCAAACTTTGGAGACGGAAGAGCCACCAGGGGTCAGCAAACTGCGGCTCGTGAGCTGCAGGCTCTGAAGTAAAATTGAAAATGAAAATAAATTTACCATAGTTTCATTTATAAAATTTTTAATGGATCTTATTCACATAATGCTGATTATGCAAAAATATATTTATGGCTCTCGAATAATTTTTAAATTGTTGTGAGGGACAGGATTGGCTCTTCCAGGGGTCTGAAAACTTTTGAGGCAGAACATACCCAAAGAGCCGCATGTGGCTCATGAGCTGCAGTTTGCTGACCCCTATATTAGCCTATGGTAAAATTGGTTTCATTATACATCATTTTACTTAAAGTTGCATAACCTATCGATGACATTAACTGAGGAATTACTGTATAGTTGATGACATTAAAAATGAAAATACATGACTACTTCCAAACATACACACATAAAACCCCATAACAAATAAAATTAAAAATTAGACAGACAAATCTGGGAAAATCTTATTAAAATATGACAAAGTGTGAATATGTATTAAGGTGTAATATCATCACCCTAAATGTAAATGGATGAACTCACCAATAAAAAGTCACAGAGTAGCTGGCTGGATCAAAACCCAACCATATGCATTTCCAAGAGACACATCTCAGCTACAAGAACAAATATAGACTCAAAGTGAAAGGATGGAAAATGATACTCCAAGCAAATGGCATCTAGAGAAAAGCGAGTGTAGCCATACTTTACATCTGATGAAACAGACTTCAGGATAAATATGGTAACAAGAGACAAAGATGGACATTTCATAATGATAAAGGAGACAATATACATGTTCCCAATCAGGGAGCACCAAAATATATAAAGCAAATACTAACAGAACTAAAGTGAGAAACTGACAAAAATACAACTATAGTAGGGGACCTAAATATGCCATTGACAGCTAGTATAGATCATCCAAACAGAAAATCAATAAGGAAATAGCCTTAAATGACACATTAGACCAAATGGACATAATTGACATTTTCAGAGCACTTCACTCTAGAACATCAGACTATACATTCTTTTCTAGTGCACATGGAACATTCTCAAGGATAGACCATATGTTGGGACACAAAACTAACCTTAGCAAATTTAAGATTGAAATCATACCAAGCATATTCTCAGGCCACAAGGCTTTGATATTGGAGATCAACTCAAAAAGGAAGTGGGAAAAACCACAAATATGTGGAGATTAAACAATATGCTATTAAAGAATGACTGGGTCAAAGAAGAAATAAAAGGAGAGATCAAAAGATACAGAAAAACAAAAGAGAATGAAAATATACATCATATCAAAATTATTGGGATGCAGCGAAAGCAGTATTAACAGGGAAATTTATATCATTACAGGCCTATCTCAAGAAACAAGAAAAAATCCAAATAAATAACCTAACATTACATCTTAAAGAACCAAAAAAAGAACAAATGAAACCCAAAGTCAGCAGAAAGAAGGAAATAACAAAACTTAGAGCAGAACTAAATGAAATAGAGAACAAAAAGACAATAGGAAAAATTAATGCAACAAAGAATTGGTTCTTTGAAAAGAATAAAATTGACAAACCCTTGGCTAGACTCACTAAGGAAAAAGAGAAAAGGCACAAATAAACAAAATCAGAAATGAAAGAGAAGTTACGACGGTTACCACAGAAATACAAAGGATCATACGAGAATACTATGAAGGACTATCTACCACCAAATTCAATAACCTAGAAGAAATGGACAAGTTCTTAGAAATATATAACCTTCCTAGACTGAATCATGAAGAAATGGAAAATCTAAATAGACAGATCACTAGTAAGGAAATTGAAGCAATCACCCAAAACTTCCCCCAAAGCAAAAATCCAGGACCAGATGGCCTCACTAGTGGATTCTACCAAACATTTGAAAGATGATTTAATACCTGTCCTCCTCAAACTCTTCCAAAAAATTGGAGAAGAGGCAATACTAACTCATTTTATGAGGCCAATATTACCCTGCTCAAAATCTGGTAGGGGCTGGCCAAGTGGCGCATTGGTCCAGCTCTGAGCAGCAGGGCTCCAGTTTGGATCCCACATGAGGGCCAGTGACACTGCCCTCTACAGCTAAGACGGTGAACAACAACAGCTCGACCTGGAGCTGGGCTTCCATGAGTCACCAGCGAAGGCGTAGGCTGCAGCCCCGGCTGCAGTGGGCTGCCATAAGCTACCGTGTGTGGCTGGCAGCCAGCATGAGTGGCTGGCAGCTGGTGTGAGCTGCCAAGAGCCACCGTGAGCGGCCGTCCAGAGGCCATCGACTGATCTGCCTCACCCGGGAAGAGCATAATGATGATACCAACATGGGCCAGTGAAGCAACGTCCTCCACAACGAGACTGAAGAACAAAAGGGCAGCAACTTGTCTGTTCCCCTTCCCCTGATTCCCCAGCGCTGTTCCCCTCTCCCAATTCCCCAATAAAATCTTAAAAAAACAAAACAAAACCTGGTAAGGGTAACACACAAAAAAGAAAACTATACACCAATATCTCTTATGAATACAGATGCAGAAATCTTAAACAAAACACTAGCAAATTAAATACAACAATACATTTAAAGGATTATACAACACGGTGGCCAAGACATGGAAACAACCAAAGTTCCTTTGATAGATGATTGCATAAAGAAGATGTGGTACATATACACAATGGAATACTATTCTGCCATAAGATGAAATATTGCCATTTGCTACAACATGGGTGGACTTGAGGTTATCATGCTATGTGAAATAAGTCAGAAAAAAAAGCCAAGAACCGTATGACTTCACTCATGTGAGATATAAAATTGAAAGCAACAAAGGAACAAGACAAACAAAGAAACAAAAACTCATAGTCTTAGACAACAGTTTAGAGGTTACCAAAGGGTAAGGGGGGAGGGAAGATGGTAGAATTGGGTAAAGGGATGAAATATATGGTGATGGAAGGAGAACTGACTCTGAGTGGTGAACACACATGCAATATATAGATGATGTATTACAGGAATGTACACTTGAAACCTATATAATTTTACTAATCAATTTCACCCCAATACATTTTTAAAAAGATGTAATATCTTTTATGTCTATAGTTGCAGAACTGTCAATCTGGGTTTAATATTTCTCATAATAGTCTTCAGTGAGGACGATTGAAAATGTCACCAGATGGCGCTGTTACAACCTGGAAATGGATTCCTTTGTCCTCTTAACAATTTAAAACAATTGCTCCAATTTTCTATTACAGGGCATTTTAGCCATTGATAGGTATGAGGGAAGAAAGGGAAAGGGTGTGTTTAAAGGATGACGAAATAAAAATACCTCATTAAGTGTGTATTAAAATAAACTTTTTTCAAAAATATTTTTCTAGTAATGTTTACACATTAATACTTCTAGACACATGAGCTTTTTAGAGTAAGATGAATAGAGATGGTCTTTGCCCTAAGAGCCATGGTGATCATTAAAGTTGCCTTTCCAACTCTTAGGAGCCCCTGGACATATGGGGTAGTAAACTCTTAGTGATCCAGTGATCAGTTTTCTAGAATCCTTAATTCTCTTTAAGAACTCTGACACTGACAATGTTTAAAACAAAAAAACAATTAAAAGTTTTAGTGAGGAAGCAATTCCTAAACCCTTGGATGCAGACAACTTGCTGAAGAGGCTACCTGATTCCCCCATGGGCCTGTGAGCCCCTGGATGGCTGAATCCCACTCTCCACTTTGAACAGGGCCTGGTTTAAATAGTCATTCTGAAGTGTTGAAGAGATAAGAAATTGTTCTTCCCAGAAGCAAGAAAATAGTCCACCAGTTGGCCATGTTGACTGCTGCTACCCCATGCCTGCTACTATTCTCATTTACTAAGGGTTTACCTTGTGCCTGATAGTATCCATGACATAGATATGAGCGACACATTTTCTAGAAGGGCCCACCAGTACTCAGACGGATTAAGGGATGTGCCTGGGGGGAAAACCTTAATTCCCATGTGTAAGGGGACAAAAGACTTGATGGCAGAAGCATAGACTAAACCAGGACCCTGGACTGCATTAGGACCCAATAACATCTCGGGACCAAGAAGAAGGCTACTTCAGGGCACTGGGCCCTTGGAACCTACCATGCCATTCTCGTTGGGCGCCAGGAGCTCTAAAGGACAAATCTTTGGTTTGCAGAACCCCCAAATCTTAGTC